CATTTCGAAAGATCTTCAATCCTTGTGAATTTGACGCGCCGGTTTGCCAAACGGCACCTTGAAAATATTCCTATGAGCCTGGGGTGTACTGAAATTCACCTTACTCAAACTCCCCGGCCGGTGATATTCAATACTTTAGCGCAGATGGACACAGATTAATTATTCCTGAAGGTCTCAAGTCACCAACGCGTAGGCTGACATCCGCACGGACAAGCGTTGCCGCCTCCACCATCTACCCTTCTAGTATGAAACAAAAGCTCAAGCGAGTTGTTTAAAGCTGCATCGTTAATGAGCAATCATGCATTATATATAGATCAGTCCTTGATCAACTCTGTACTGTTAATCAGCTATCTAGAAGGTCTTCACCTTTTTGCACATGTCTGACCTTACTTGTGCATATTATGTAGGGCTTTGCATCGGAACCAGGTACCCGAGTACCCGACCGCTGATGTCAGGAACCGGTTCCAGATTATAGAACATCCATAACCAACTTTGCATAGTAGGCCTACTTGGGAACTTCTCAGACAATGTAAAAGAAAGGTTTTGAATATCATTTGTGAAGAATTTTCAGAATGAAAACCAGGCCACATGGAAAAACATAACAGATTCTTGCGTTAATGACACTTGCGAAAATGCAATTTACGCCGTCAGTAGTAGTAAATCTTTAATCCAAGTAAGCTTTTGATAATAATTTGGTAGGTTACTTTTGTGAAAAATGCAAATGATCATAAATGATGCCTTTGAACATGACTTACAGCTGCTGGAGTAACCAACAAAGCTTCTTCGTGAAATGATAACAAAATTACCCACGAGTCTGATAAAATTATTATCCCTAATGACACACTAAAAGCTCACTTTGAATGTCATTAAACACAGTGGAGTTTCTGGTCAAGCTAGTCTCTGGCTTTGGCCAACTTTCCAATGCCTTAATACTTCTGTCACAGTATGCAGCTTGTTGTAAGTGTACACTTTGCAGTATGATTTCCTAACATAAAAAAATCTTAATTCTCTGTGTTACATGTTCATTGAAAAGTTAAAATTTGCATACAAATTCCTTCAGCGAGGAAGTGTTAATGTAGCTTTTCAAAAAAAATTCCCCGTTATAGGACTGAGCATTAAGGGTTGCTTATTCGTCAGTGGAAAGGTCTTGTTCCTACAATTTATCCAATGAATAATTTTAAACTTGAAAATGGATTTCTTTTTTAAAGATATTTCCACATATGAATATTTCCACAACAAAGCTTGTAAGCATCAAGATTTAAGAATCTTCTGTCATGTTAAAATACACACTGAAAAGACAGTCACCCAAGAAAATTCCGTCCCTGCATGTATCAATGTAATGATAATGTTCACACATAAAAACCTTGGATTTTTTTTTCGGCACTACAAGTCACAAAATCCATTTGATTTTAAACATTCATTGGTGACCACAATTCCTATTAAGGGTTTGTGCATGCGATGACGTCGGAGCACCGGTGATGTTGCAGGGAGACATTCAATTAAGGCCAAGTAGCTAGGGGTCCGAGATTTACTGCAGAGGCTGACGTCATGCACGCCCTAATTCCTAGGAATTCAATATGCTCCACAAGCTCAAAACCCGAGGTGTGAATAATTGACAAATTTGACGTCGGTACAAGGGGAAAATCAAAAATGTACAACTTGATTTGTGCAAGAAATCTAAACCCCAGGTGCCTGAACTTAGAGTTGCTTAACATTATATTTTACATTTCAGAAGAATTTTTCAAAAGGGCTTTAAAATGAAAAGGCTTTCGTTGTGTTATTTCAACTTCTCTTTCACTTTTTCTGTTGTTTTCAATACATAATGTATCAAAATATTTTATCAGACCCGAAATGCAATGTGGTGTGGTATTTTTGTTTTCATTCTAATGTGCTAAAATGTTCAAGGATAGGTTGCAAGGAGCATTAAGGGTTTGCCAAAAAGGGTTTACCAAAAAAAATATTGCCAAACTTTCAATATGTCTGACAGCCGTGATGATGGTACCGGTATCAACCACGTCCATATACAGTCCGCCACATGCAAGCAGGCCATGTACAGAGAACATATTCAGTGTGTTGATCATTAGCGCTGTTAACCCCCTCCTTTGTCCACCTCTCTTCTCCCCACCCCTTTATTGGGGGGGGGGGAGAGGGGGGGGGGGAGTCCTCCCCCCCACGTCACTTCAACACTAGGCTGCAGTTTGGTGCCTCCTGACTTGAAGCAGGCATCTGACAGGGAGCCCCAGCTGCAGCCCGTCTTGTAATCATCTTGAAATATTCAACATCTTGACACCTTCTAGCCATCTTGCTGCATTGTTGGCAATGCCACTGCTCATATATGTCTCCCATTGTAGCTGGGTGGGTGATGTAGATTCTTGTCATTTCTACCAGTAAACTCTGGTCACTTTCTCTGTCTTCGAATCAGTCCAGATATAATCAACATCAAAGTGAATATTTTAGTAAACCATAGAGTGATGTTTCATGTGCACAAAGTCTGTGCACGATCCGTCAATTCGCAGTGACTGAAAAACTATCCTTATTTGGCATTCAGTTGTGCACCCAATGATTTCAAGTTGGTCTCCCCATGCTATTTCAAGTTTCACTTCTAAAAATAGATTTAGTGTTGAAAAAATCCACAATAAGAAAAGTAGCCTTTTTGTTTAAATAAAACAAATTGAACATTTATGAATATTTACAATAAAAGCTTGAGTACCCAGGTGGGTCGGAAAAAGGAAACAAAGCATTTTTTTCATTTGGCCTCAAGCAGTGACAAATAAAATTGTTCACATTTTAAAAAATTCTACCTAAACAAAAAAACATGGTTGACATGGGGGACAAAAGAAAAAGTAAAGGTTTATGATCGATCCTTGTTCATGATGCAGTAACCACAATACTGAAATCAGCTCATGATACTTTCAGCAGGCCAATATAAGAGGCTCTTAAGCACACTTGCAAGGTCTGAAAGAAAACAGGTGATGCGATGAGATGCAACATTATCAGATCGGGAGTGTATCGCAGGGCATTGACTGCAATCAAATCCTGCTGAATTAAAGGTTAACACATACAACGGGCTACGACTAGCTTGCACATGCAGCTTTTATTCCATGTGTTTTATATCGAAGTGTCAAATATTTTCGACCTCAATCAATTGTTGTTGTTGTTGTTATTGTTGTCTGTTTGTCTATCAAGCTGTCGTTCATGTATTGGGCGGGATGTCTATCTGTCGGGATGTCCGATGTCTGTCTGTCTATCGGTCTGTTAGAGTGGTTTTTTTTTTTTTTGTCTTTGAATGCATTTTACCTTCCTCATTATAACTCCTGTATTTCCTGATGTTGTATGGTGTCTTTTTATTTATTTTTTTATGTGAGAACTGTATTTTATTTGTATATTATTCAATGAATTTTAAAGAATCTTATAATATTTGTATATGAATTTTAATGTCTTGATGTTTTATGATACCTGTATGTTGCAGTTAACCGCTGTAGTACAAAATAAAAATTAAAAATAAATAAATAATTCTATCGAGAGTTTTAGATTCTGAGAATGGATGGCGCATGTCGTTGGCCTAACGACCTATGATGCAGAGGTCAACTGAAGTTAAATATCCGCATCAGTGAGAACAAATAGGACACTGTGTTTCATGTATCACGTAAGCCTACTCAGTGGTGGACCCATTTTGATAAAAAAAAAAATTAATTGTAATATTTTGCTAAAATTGTGTTATTTCAGGTGGTACCTTACATGTAATTTACCCTTACCACCACCAACCCTTCAAAATCAATCTGCATGTTTTGTTGGAATCTGTTGGATAGAGTAATTCAAACTGATGATGCTTTACATGGGGTCAGGCATAACCACCATAATCAGAGTCCAGCAGTTTGTGTGTTGAGTGAGAAAGGATCCAAGCAAATCACTCAAGGGGTTAGGGCTAATCCTGAAAAATAATTGATTTAAATGCTCATACATGTAAAATGCCAATACCATCTACACACTTCCTGGGCTGGAAAATATAAATGCTACATGTAAGCAAAGTACAAGTCAGTGTCATAGATGATTACGTTGCACACTTGACTGTACAGATAGGGAATACAATCCACTTTCAGTGACGTTAATTTTGGAAAAGTGCTGCCTGCCATCGGTTCTCTTGCATTTCAACTGAGGTATCAGTTTCCGTTCCATCTTAACTAATCATTCCTGAGAGCACTGATCTCAGGATGACCGTGTCACATGTACTAAAGCTGTTCATTTGTAGCTAGTGGTTAAAGCTGGACAGCTATTTCAGTCGACGATTCTAACATGGCCTTGGGTATATCTATATTCATTAACCGAATGATGACATAATTCATTGAAAGATTTCAATGTTTGAAAGTTTTGTGTTCTCAATGTTTGGTGAGTTGTGTGTTCTCTAAAGTAACAATCACATTTATTTCATTTAAGCAAATAGCTAGATTAAATTTTAATCTCATCTGTCTATTTGCTAAAACAAAACATGATCTTTAATTTGAAGAAACACTTGACGAGCTAGAAGGGGTAAAAACATGCAAAAAGGCAGCAACTGGACTACAGAGTTTCATTTTTTAGAGAAGCTTTCTTTTAGAATGCGAAAATTCAACCTCGGTCCCTATTGATAATTCAATGTTTCTGAAACAACAGGTGTATTTCTGTTACACAAGATGTACCAAGGAACCATTCAGGGTTGGTCGGCTCACTGCACAGCCAAGGGAATAAACCCGAAATGCAGCACTGATTGTCAGAAATCTTAAAAAACTGTTTTCAAGACTTGTAAAAACAAGCCTGACACAGCAGTGCCTGTAAATACATGCAAACAGAAAATCAAACTGAGAATTAATGCATTTTTTATGTTTTGTCTCTATTTGGTTTAAACCTATAGGTCTATCTGAATTGTGTTTCAAACGAACAATCCTTCAACGGTTACCTAGAGTTTGCTGGCAGAATGACACATTTCTTGGTTGAACTGAAATTTAAAAAAAAAATGGACTTACTTGAGAAACTTTTGAGGCCACAGGGGTGTAGATATTTTGTGCTGCTGTGCTGGCTGTAGGCGATGAATCTTTATCATACATGTTACTACCGTTCAGTAGACGGTCGCCCTTGTATCTGCTTAGATCCGAGTCCGACATGGCAAAGCCTCCTCTAGATCCAGGAACTACTTCAGATTCATACAAAAGAGAGAAAAGTGGAAGAGAATATAAAAAGGGTCTTCATTTTTAAAACTCTTTCCACTATTTTAAATGTTGCTAAAGACGGCTTAATTATAAACTGCTATTGCGGACTAATCAAAATATTAGGCCCGTGGACTACATAAGAGTCTGTTTCACTAGTCCGGCTCGCTAGTGAAAAAAAAGAGTTAAGGGTGAACCCTTGTCTGGGCGAGTTCACCAGGGTGTAACACTTTTAAAAAAAAGGAGTGGCAGACACATCCATAGGTACAGGTTGCTGAGTTTCAAAAGTCTGTTGCCATGGTGATTTGGACGTTAACACCTGCCATCCCAACAGGGACAAGCTTTGCCTCTTAGAGTCACCGGATCATCTTGTTTACATGTAGTTACCCGTACTCCCTACACCTGCATGGTAACGTTTTAACACTACCCGCCTTGATTCTCAAGTGTCAACAAATTTAATTTGTACTCCTAGATTAATTTCCCAGTGTGCTCTACACTTTTTACACTTCATACCTTGCTCATCTTTGCTGTGAATGGTTTGAGCTTTTCAATACGGATAGTCAATGCAGAGCAACACATCATGGTGCATAAAGTAACAATGCACTGATCTACGAAGTTCTAAACTTGGTTGCCATGGTAACTTGGAGCTGGATCAGGAATTTCCACGTATTTTTTTCTCAAGAGGATTTTGCAGGGTATTGACCCATCCCATAATCAGCAATTCCTGGCATGTACTTCAATGTTTAAATTGAACTTGTCCGAGTCACAAGTCACGAGTGCATGGACATGGCCACACGTATACATGTAAGTGATATGTAAGCGATACGCTGACATCGCAGAATACAGGGATGGACGCATATTTAATATAAATGTATAATAAACATTATTATTTGCAACACCACCTAAAGAGTGGTGCTTTAACCTTCTTAAGCGTTGCAAAGTTATTTTTGAAAAATAACATCCAAATAATGTTTTTTAAAAGGTAATATTTTTGGTAAGAAAAGGAAACTTGACTCGCGAGTCATGAGTCATTAGCTTCAATTCCAAGACATTATGGTCGAGTCCGAGTCTGAGTGTTTTGCCAATGTGATTTGAGTGGAGTCCGAGTCACAGAAATTGCAGTTCAAGATGGACTCGGGTCGGATCGAGTCCTGGTCTCATGGCCTACAACACTGCTAGTTGCAAGATTCTGAACACTTTCACTGGAATCTTCTTACAATGAAGTCATCAGCATTGTAGATAAACTTGTCTTAGCTAATTAAAGAGACAACTTGCAATGAGCATCTTGGATGTATGCTATTAAGAGGTCAAAGCTGTTGTCATGAATAATTTGAATACATACATGCTTCCATTTGAATCTGCTTTTGTTTTTCTCGCTGGCTTTCCAGTCCTTCCAGGGACGAAGCACGCCGGACGCTCCACCCACTTTGATTGGAGAAAGACGTATTGGATGGGGATCTGATAACCGGGTTGCGATACTCAATTCTCGGGGTTCGATACTCATCTTCCTGAAAATGGCTGGTACCCTCTAATGGCCGGTCCCCGACCGAGTACTGGGATTGGTGCAACCGGGCCATGTCTCTGCGTATCCCAGAATCGGCGGAGCTGGTTGTGGCTTCGGTGGTTGCGTGGAAGGAATCTGAGTGAATGGATCGGGTGGATTGGGTAGGGGATGCACCTAGACCATGCTGGCCGTTAAGGTCCTTGTGGCTGAGTTCTATCAGAGGCATGGAACCCTCGGCTTCGGACAGGAATGTAGAGTTCTCCATATCCACGCTGTCCCCATTCACCCCCTCGTCTGCCATTTGCAGTTTCTGCTGCTTGTAGAGGGATGGTAAGCGAAGACGGAATGTTCGGTGGTTATCTGCAGAGAATTTTTTTTAAAAGGGAGAAAAGTTTAAGTTCAAATGAAAACTTTCTGGCCTGTCCCAGCGATGTGATGACCTGGGGTCAATGTCACAAAGCTTCTCAGCAAACAATATATTTTTTCATATTTATGATTTAGAAGCCAGTTAATATTTTGACTAGTGATCTGTGGTTGGGCTGCTAAGCAACCATTTTGTTTGGGAGTTCAGCAAATATTCAGTGCAATGATCTTTCTCAGTTTAATAATGACTATTTAAATTTTGGCAGATATTCCAAGATGGATTTTTCAATTTTCTCGACTCTTTTGCCAATACTTTTCAGTCCAAAGGAGCCCTCGCCCTTTCTATCAGATTTTTAGCTTGCACTTGTGGCTACAATTTTGCTGGGAAACGAACAAAAGACAATAATTGCAAATGTATGATTAAAAAAACCCAGTTAAATAAAAAAAAGGCGGGCAGGAAATAAGGAAGCAAGAGGGGATGAGAAACTGCCAGTGTATTTTTTTACTTGGCCTTAACTGAAAGAGCTGCTGATGGAGTAAACTTAATATGGGCCAGGCTCAAACACCCCAAGATTATTACAGGCTGATAAATATTACTATGTCGCTTTAATGTAACAAAAACAAATCCTAAAGCGTTTTAAATCATCATCAATTTCTTGCAAGCATACTGACTGGATCTTTACAGAGGTTTTTAAAAGCTGTTCTCAATTATTTCATCTTGGCTTTTTTGTAAAATCCTTTTTTGGACACAAGGGCGTTAACAACAAAAACAAACAGACTCTTGGAAAAAGCTACTTCTCAGCAGTAGGGTTTCGGTCCCTTTCAGTTGAACCCAGATATAGACAGTCTGTTAGGATGCCCTCTTGTGGTCAAACATTTACAGTTTTAGATGGTTTTTTTTTTCAATACAGCTGTCACAGTGCTCGGAAAATGACAAGAAACTTCCTAGACATTCATCATGTGCATAGTATGTAATGTATGAATAGCGCCCTCTGTCACCAAATGTCAACAAACTAGGTTTGACAAGAGTGTGCAAGTCTCGCCCGTCCACGTTCACTCTTCATGTGAACGTCTTGGTACAAAACGATTAGTCTAGTCACTGGCTCCCGTTTTTGATTTTATCTAACTGATGTCTGCGAGATTGATTGAATGGAAGTTGAGGTCAACAATTTTAGTTTTGTTATACACTCTTATAAAACACGTAAATTTTAATGTTTTTTTTTTCAGCATATATATATATGTACCTATTTGTATTATTTTTTTTTCATTTGCAAATGTTGGCATATGTGACGAGAAATGTCAAAAAAAAAAATTACTGGGAGTGATTTTTTTCCCAGACTGATTGATATTTGTAATCTTCTACTGCACATATTTTAAAGAAATTATTGTGGAATAAAAATGTTTTAAGGAAAAACAATTGGCATCTTTCCTTTTCATGACTACAAAACAGTGGAAACTTGATACAGGCCCTTTTCTCAGTATAAATAAATGTGAAATTAAACAGCCATAACTTGTCAACGGAATGTTTGATTGAAGTGCAACAAACAGTATTGTGAGGAGAATTTTATTCTCTTTCCTAATACCTCCAAAATCCTCGTTTCGACCTCTGCCCACTTCCGTCTCATTTTGCCAAAACGCCTCACATATATTCAAGAAGTGAGTTGAGAGTTGTTGTTCGATTTGAAACTTACTGAAAACAAAGAAGAGAACACCTTAACCTGCACAAGGACAAAGCAAAGATATACTCACTTCTTGCCCTCTTCCACTTATTCATAGGTGTATTCAGAGACATGGAGCTTTGACTGGCTGCTGAGGGTGTCTCACTGGGGAGCACTGACGATGTTGACGGTGCCTTGCTGATGTCACTGATATCTTCAAAGTTCATGATCACCATAATCACCTCCTCATTCTCATTCTTGACAGGGGCCACCAGGACACTGCAGAGAAAACTGCTTCCTGAAGGTCAAAAAAAATGGCAAATTAAGAATTTGAAAAATATAAGTTTTCAATAATCACTTAACTGAACTCTCACTGGTAGGTTGTCTATCTTGGCTTTGGTTCTTTCCCAGCATATCTAAAACTTGTCTCTTTAATTTGTTATTAATCAATGAATTATTCAAGCTCATCATCGGTTTCTTCAGGTCCACAGTCGAAGGGTGTTCTGCACTTATGAAGATCGTCTTAATAGAAAGACGGAGGAGGGAGATATTGCATATGTTGCGCTGCACTTGCCAAGTAAATATTGTGTACATATTGTAAGCTTCAGGCATCCACTGTTTTTCAACATGAATACATCTACTGATTTCTGGCAAGTTGGGAAATTTCATTTTTTCCCCCCCAGCAAAGCGAGATAGACTTGATGTTCCTCCGCCAGTGGGTGCAATTGTGTAAATGACTTTTGACACTAACAACAATATCTGGACACAGCCACCGGAAAAATGTCTACCTTTGATATTTCCGTGTTTTTTTTTCAATATGCTACAGTCAACTCATGTTCGAGAATAGGGGGCGGGTTGATATAATAACATCACTGTTTTGACAAAGGGGCACGCATACAAAGATGACTTTTTTTTAGTTTCAACTTTTTTTTATTTTTTGCTGCTTTCAAACATTGCACGCAAAACTTGTATTGTCTTAATAACATGAATAATGTATGGGGCCGGTGCCTCCATAATTATTTTTTATTACACCATTTAAACATTTAGCCATTTTACAAAGGCTGACCCCTGCCCATTATGTCTGCAGACCGGCGTGATTGACATGAAAAATAAAAAACTACTGGAATAATAAATGACGGGAAGTCATTGAAAAAGTAAAAATTTAACTAAGTACACCCCAAATGTAACCAAGTCATGCAGTGCTTCTATGAGTTTGAAAACATTGCTAATTATTTCTGCTATGTACTTGATTGCGTGAAAGTTGTACATCCCTTTTTAATAATTTAGGTTTCGTTAAAAAAAATTTGGAAAATTTGGAAACGGATTTCGAGTCATATCTGCATTATAGGGTCCTTGAAATAAACGCTACACTTACACACATTGGGTTTTAAGTACATTTCTGCAATAAAAGAACGGTAAAAAAAAGTAATCCTGACATTGCATTCTCACCTCTGACATTCTAGTCACATTTTCAGCCTGAAATGTAGAAGAAACACTAGGGATTCCATTTTAAAACTGCCATTTCACAACCTTTCTATGTAAAAGGACATATCTCATGAGATTTCATAAAGGTCACAATTGTGATTTTTTTTTTAAATATAGCGCCGATTCTAAGCCAATCTACCCACGCATCATCCTCTTTTCTCAAACAGCCTCTGATTAAAGAAATCACTTGCTAGTTTGTATCCGCAGGTCAGACTTCTGTCAAGTCCAGCAAACACAGACCTCGCCCCAGGATGAATCAAGAGCTTGTTAGAAACATGGCAGCATCGAGAGCTCTCCACACAGAACAACCTCCATCTCCCCCAGTTATTAACGGACATGGCAGGAGAATTGCCTGCTGCCTTTGGGTCAAGGAAAGCCTTGGTCCTCAACTGGGGGTGCATTCAGAATAAGGACACTCGGTACCCAAAGCCTAAGAATTGCAAGCTTATTCATGTCCTTAGGAGTTTATTTTGAGGTTAAAATCAAAGTGTAGCAGTCAGGCCACTGTTTATGAGCTATAGTTTTGTAACATGTTTTGCTGTTATCCTTTTTGTCAAAGGGCAATTCTGCAAATTTGGACGTACATGTCAGACACTTAATGTGCGGTAATGTGATACATCACTAATATGCAACATCTAATGAGTAGAAAACAATTTCAGACCATATTGAGGTACCATCACTTTAACGACCTTGTACCGATACATGAACATCTGCAGTTTTTGCTTCTTCTTTACATAACAAGAAAAACATCTGAAACATCCGTTCCTGTAATTTGTATGATTTTAATTGCAGATGAAGATGTCATGAATTCCCTGTTTTGTAACCCATTACATATTTGTTGCCTGCATCTACAATTGCTTAATATTTGTGGTCAGTGTTTCTTGATGGTACTCTACTGTAAGTTTGAGGGAAATTGGATTCCAATCGTCGAAGGCTTCTCAGCACCAAGATAAGTTTGCAGCTGTTTTGCCTGGCAGCACAGGCATGCATAGCCAACTTCCAGGCAAAATAATGCATTATTTATGATTTGCATTTAAGTTGCATTCCCCGTGCAATTCAACAGATTCAATTTTTCTATTAATAGCTTTTCAACTTGAATGTTTCATTCCAATCACATTATTTTATCACTTCCAAAAAATTTATGAAAACAGAATTAATAAGAAAGATCCTCCAATTTTTTTATAGCTATAAAATATATAAATTTAAAAATAAAACAAATTAACTGCTGAGCTAGTTGCTGGAAACACAGCATTATTTTTTTTTTGCAAAAGAATTTCATTTAAATTAAATTCGAAAAATTAAGCAACTTTAACCCAAACCCTCCTGGGTAGGCTGCGAAGATCTCTGAATCCTCCAAAATCCAAGTATAATTGAGACAACAAATCCCATGCTGCAGATGGGTTAGGCTGTGCGGCTCTGAATAAATCCGAGTACTGTCATTTACCAGCTGTTGGATGTTAGAGGATATGGACAGATACATAAAGACTAGATGTTGAAATCGTAAGACGGTTGACGGCATCTCTGTTCAACTGGCAAGGGGCTGATCCAGAGAGGTTACAGCAGGGGGAGGGGGGATCGATTTCACATTTCTGTGCAACAGATTAAACTCGGGAAAGTTGCAGATTACACCATAAAGCTACATTCTTTTCAGACAACTTCTGTGATTTAAATTTTGGCGTCTGTTTCTTTATGGGTACTCAGGGACCCGTGTTTTAATTCAATAGGGTGCCCTGTTCTCGTACTACCCGTATGTCTGTACACAACTACCAGCGATGCGAACATTGCGCAGTTGATTTTGAAATGTCAGCCCATGCCTCATGGATCAGGTGTTACGGCACTAACAATCACTGCCACACCTCATTCACCTCAACGTCCTTCCAATTCAATTACTGTGCGCACCAATGGCAGGCTTCGGCCTATATTGAATTGGGCCAGGCAGATTCTCGTTCCAGTTTACGTAAAATTAATCATGCTCTGGCTTGGGATGTTGAAAGGCATGCAAACATGCAACATCATCTTCAGGTCATCATGAGAGGAAATTGATTCAAGACAAAAGCTTTTACAAAAGTTGTGATTTTTCGTTTCTCTTTCTTAATTATGTTATTCAAATATCTAGCTAAAAGTACCAGTACATAATGCACTATAAAACAGATAACAGTATACAAACGGGCCGTGTTGAAAAACTGTAATTTATGGGGAAGACAACAGGCAGCAAGGTTTAAAACCAATAAACCAAGAGAAGAACAGAAGAAAAGAATTACGTTAAAAAATCATAAAATATGTTCATCTGTCAAAATACTCCAAATATGACCTTGTCTAAAACAGGCTTTTAGAGCATGATAAAGTATTCTTGTCAGCATTTCCCCAAGTAGTTATAATTATCGAAGACCTAGACTAAAACAAGTGATTTGGACGTGGGGTACTTGCAGTTGCCAGCAAGATCGCCAGTGTAGTGTGTATAGCCCCCTCTACTGTCCCCAATGCACCAGTGTCTGTCTATCGCTACACGTTGCCTCCAGTTTGTTGACACTAGTAATGCATGTGTACCTAGCCCTGTATCCGGTATGAATGCATAATAAATGTGTTCAAATAGCAGCCACCCAAGAATATGATAATTAGTCTATAATGTGTCTGTATTATTTATTACAATTTCAACCCTCTGTACTGGTATTATCACAAAATTTCCAAAATCAGGCGTACATGTAGAATTAAAGGAGAAAATGTGTTTTGTTAAATTTTCCTATATCGTTTACAATTTACTAAAGGAGCGTTTTTTTTTCAAAGCATTAAGATTGGATCGTTTCAATTCTCATCTTCTCTTTTTATTTCTGCATTTTCAATTGGAAGTGACTTGACTTTTTTATCTACTAAAATCCGGCAAATTGCTTATAAACAAATGGCATGCAAAGAGTCTTCAAAACTATCGAAAAACTACGAACTTCTTCTTCTTGTTAATTTGAAGTGTTAGGACAAATGCAATGCAAGCAAGCTATACAATAATTTGACAACCTATTTTCAAGAACCTCGCCGCCTAACACATTTTACATAAATATTGACATCAAATACAAAAAAATTAAAAACATTTAATCATGTATACATTTAAGAAAGACACCAGGGTGATTTGCGTTAAGAATTAATTCTCATTGTTCACTTTACCAGGAACCTTTGCTGCAATCTTTCACTGTAATATTTGTTCAAGTGTACTTACATAAACCCAGTAAATGCTAATCAAATTCATTTTTTGTTGACAGAGAAATGAGCATGACACCCTGATAAAAAAAGGCAAAGGCTATGCATACTAATTGCTACTTAGAGACACAATGTGTGACAAGTAAAGACTCCTCTTATAGGAAAGGTATAAAACTTATGAATATTAATAAGAGATGGTGAAAATTCATTAGAAAATTGCTAGCGGTAACATCAAAACCCAGTGGTCTAAATGTAAAATTTCAAGCTAGTTCAATGTGAACCTGCCAAATCCAATTATAAGTTTCAGAAAACTCTTCACATTTGTTCTACTTTTAGAGCGGCTTTCATCACAAGTGGTCAACTTGATTTTCCCATTTCTTTTCTCACGGTAGGGATATAATGGTAAATGGTAAGTTAATCTGACGGTTCATATGTCCAGTATGTGCTGTGCTGAAAATTTTTCATGAGTACTTGTAGACAAAAACTGTAGGTTAAATGTACTTTTCTGAATGTAACTTTATGAACTTGCTGCACTCTTGCCCTCAATTGGGTCTTCTAAAAAATGATGTTTGCAATAACTATGTTTGCACGTATGCAGATTCATTTATTTGTATTGAGGGAATT